AATTCAGATTTTGCCGCATAGATCATCTTTACATTTTTGAGGAAGATGTAGTTGAATGGTTGGTTTTCCAAACATGAATATCCTCGCTAACTTGTTTATAACTGGAAATCAAATGCTCGAATGAGCATCAGATAACTAAGTATTCTCTTTAACCCATCTGACAACTGGAAACTTTGCTGGTTGAAGCCTTTTAAGATTAGTTAACCGGTCAGTTTTCACGTTGGTTTTTTGATGCCTTGAGAGAACATGCTTCATATTTTTATCTTGTTCAACCGTACCATTTCCACATTGCGATGAATTTACCACGTCACTTCGCATGAGCATCACTTTTTTACACTGCAACTTCAGTTCCGTATCAAGGTGCTGAAACAAAATCAATTGTAGGTAGCTGATGGTGTAGTATATTTGTTGCAAGAAATTTATGGAATTGAAAATAAAGAACATGATCTTGGTGATGAAAATGGATCCGAATGCATCATTTGTATGTCTGATATTCGTGATACTGTTATTCTCCCTTGTAGGCATTTATGCATTTGTAATGGATGCGCGGAAACATTGAGGTATAAGGTCAGTTCTTCCCTTTTTTCAGTTTACCGCCCTTTTACTTTATTTCAGAAATCATCTTTTGTTATTCATCTCTCGTCATCATACATGTTTTTACCATTGTAATGTGTGAAATCCTGAAGAGTTTTTCCCTTAGAAATATCCGAATTTTGTTTTTATATTTGCATATCTGAGGGGTTTTTCTACGAGACTTATCTCTATCATTAGGAGATTTTTGTTGCTTCCACCGTATTATATTAATTTTCAGTTAAATAATTGCCCCATTTGTCGTTCTCCATTCCGCGCACTGTTACAGCTGAAGACGATGCGTGTTGTTAGCACGGTTTCAATAACTGACCAGTCACCGTCTTCTCAACAAACTCGTTCACAAACTAGGTGGTACTATCTATCATTTAATCTTCTTGGATGCCATCATATATGAACTGTTTACATGTTTTATGTTCACGACTATCTCACTTTTAAAAATTCCTGTATATTTTCATCTTTTTCAGACAGTAATTTTACTTAACGTCTTTGTCGGAGTTCTGAACTACAAATACTTCCTTTTTAGAAATTTTTTCTTCTGAGGCTGTTCCAGTTGGCAGGAGGGATTTTTTCCTGAATTGTATCTAAATGTTAATCTACTGTCCTTTAAGATATGAGACAATGACGTTAGTAGAAGCACTTAATGGACCTATCAGCCACATACAGTCCTGCGTAGTACCAACTGCTCCACTTGGCTACAACATCGATGCTCCCCATGAAGTTTCTACATCCCTCAATTCAAAAGTCACACGACGTTCCTCACGATCTTCAGTCGCTATACAGCAGGTTACAATTTGTTGTCTTTCGGTTCTTGAGGAAGAATTTTGAGTACCGATCATTTTAAAAGATCACATGCTTACTGCTGTTGCACGATCAGCTTGAAAGACTTGAATAGGACATTAATTTTTTGGTAAATGAATGTTACCAGCAGTTAACCTTGCTGCATTTAATGTATCATAGGGGTATGAGTGAGTTACTGGATATTCTAAATGAATCACTTCTATTGTTATTTCTTTACTTGGCTTGAAATTACATCGTATACTTCTTTCCATTTTAGGTGCTTACGTTAAACAACCAGAGCCGGAACAAGAAAGATAGCACCGTTTGCATAGAAATGAAATGTGCCAATGAATTCAAGAATGTAAGTTAATTTTCAAGCAGTTTCCAAGTAATTTTTTTGGTGGAATAAATGAATGTGCCCAATGTTCCATTTATCACTAAAGCTGTAAGAATACTCTGTGATCTGATTACAATGTGATCCAAAATAAGGAGCTGGGGCAGGGAGCACTGTGTGACTTCATAGATTTGAAGGATTACAAAATAACTCATGAGGTACTTCTGTGCCTTTCGATTTATTTTCGAAATTCAGGAAGAGGAAATGTCAAATGGCTGTTCGACAAGTCGTTGTCCTGACTCCCCATCCGATATTCCATATTCATCGGTTTTTTCATATGGTCGACGTTACAGAAAACAGCAAACTATGTCACCGCGGCATAACCGAAAAGGTTCCATTAAAAATGTTGCTCAAGAAAATGCGCCGAATGAACTTGCCAAAAATTCCGATGACGTTGCCACAGCAAAGGATTCATAATTCTAAACCGTTGAAAATTCAGTAATTCTTTCCCGTCGCACCTTTATTTCATTATTTCTTTTATGTACATGGCTTCCTGCGTTGCTGTACTGCTGCTAAATCACAATTGCCATTTCGTCTTTTCGTTCTGTTTTCTTTTTTCATCTCAACAATGTTCTTTCTCAGAAAGCAATTTGAAAGGTCCTACCAAGTGATGCATTTATGTAAATGGCTGAAATTGCACTTATGCTAGTTTTGTATTCTTATCTCATTATGCTGTTATTTTTTTTTTTTTCCCTTTCTCTCCCGTTGTGATATGTCGCAATCGATAAGAAGGTGCACTATTTTGAAATTTTTACCATTGTGATCCTTATGACTTGAAAGAGGAACTTTTCGTTATTTTCTGGACTACTCAAAATCAAGTAATATCCGTTTCCGATAATAAAGTTTGCAGTAAATCACATTACAATACTGATTTTCAAGTGCGCTTAGCCCAGTTCGGAAATCCAAGCAAACGAGAAAACAGTGTGGAACAACTAATAACACCTGGCAGGTATCCAGTTCTGCGAGCCTTCCATTCTTATTCTCAACCTCACAGTGCATCCTGACCGGTCACAGGCTTCGGTTTCCGTAATAGTTGCATTTGAATTTTTTTCGATTGCTTCTTAATGATAGCCAGGTGGTCAGTCAACTCCTCTTGTTTAACGATTCTACCGTGACTTTGCATATATTCGGTCAGGGACTGTAAGTGCGCAGCATGTTTCATCATTCTTACATTACCCACCAGGACGAACTGCCGACGAGCTCTTGTCACGGCTACATTGAAACGTCGTTCATCTTTTAGAAATCCAATTCGACCTACAAGCAAGATTTCTGAATTTTACCGGAAGAAATCTGATGATCTGAAGCTTACTATAAACGAGGTTTAAAACACTGGAAACGAGATTTGAATTTCTTATTAAAAACAAATTTTAGGGTTGTTTAAATATGAATTGCATATATTTATATGTATATATATATATATATATATAAATACCGTCGCTATTATTTCTGACCAATGACATAACAACTACTTCACATTCTTGACCTTGAAAGGCGTCCACACTGTTCACTCTACTAGTCTTTAATGATTTCTTCAACATGTCCACCTGAAAATGGACTGCTGTTGAAACCAGGTATTAAAAATAGCTCCTATTACATGGTTTCATTCCTAGGGAGAAAACCTGAGTCTAAAGAAATTATTAGAAAGAAATAATCCAGAAAGATCCAGAAAGAAGTGAGTGGAATCCATGTATCACGTCATAAAAGAAACATTATATAATTGTCCAAAAATCATCTTCAGTCTGACCTGTGCAATATATGGTGCTATGATACCAATGTCTTCCTCTCGGACACCAAATGTGCTTAGTGCAGTAACATATCTGATGATCAATTTCGCTTCTACTGCAAATGAAATGCATTTAAATTCTTCCCGAAATATTCAGAAACATAGTGTTTTATATGACTTCAAATTGATGCGAATACAATCAATTTTAGTCTAGAAAAGATTTCAAAAATAAATCCCTATGAAAATTTACGCGCATTTGCATATGAGTATCGATATAGCTTCTCGATGTTTTCTGCAGATTTATCATGGCTTGTGTCAATGAACACCATTGGTTCATCGAACAAACTTCCTTTAGGCACTTTGCTTATATCACTGAAATATATTAAGGAAGAGAAATTTTGAAGAAGCTCATTCGTAAGGGTTTAGATAGCTCTAAACTTGAATATGGCGGCTATAGTATACCGAAACTAGATTACTTACTAAACCAATTTATTTTTATGTAATTTAGCCCATAAATTAAATCAGGCATTTTCATAAAGTATACACGGCAGGTACTAACAAAGTAATTTACCTCAAAAGTTGGTTAGCAATATGCTCGTTCGGGCGTAGCTGTGACTTGTAAAAAAATGAAGAAGGCCATCTGCAAGAGGAAATTCCTTACTTAAATGTTTAAAAAACAAAACTTAATTATTAATAGAAACCATAAATAGCTTTCCGTTTCTTCAATAAATATGGAACTAACTTCATAATTTTTTTGTTCATACGATATTGCTCTGTCAACATGAATGAATTAGTTTCACCAAATCTCTTGGATAAAGTATCCAATAATGAATTACTGATGTCATCCATTTCCCGCAATCTTAAAGTACTTGGAACTATATAATTTAAACGAAACAGTGTTAAAGTAAAATTGGAGAAACTATGAACCACTAAAGAGAGGAAAACCAAACTAAGTTGTGTTCTTGACAGAGATTTGATAATTTAAAACACGTTCCTCAAGGTAGGCATTACGGACTCAGCTATAAGGAAAACTGTCATCACAACTTCGTATTTATAGTGCGGAAAATGATGAATGATTCGTTCAATAAATTCCGGAATTGAATGAAGAGAAATTTTCCTAATTTCTTAAAAGCATTTTATTCACAATGTCTTTGCCAGAAATGACTTAGAAGAATCGAAAAATTGTATCGAAGATAGAACTATACCGTGAAGTTTTCAAAACCGGTGGTAATTGCCATAGATCGCCAACAATTACAGCCCTACGAGACAGAAGCAACGAGTACCATGCAACACATTCCAAAGCTTGTGCAGCTTCATCTATTATTGTCAAATTGGGTTGGAAACCTTGTTCACGAAGAAATCGCAGTGAGCTATTTGTTAGCGTACATACAATCACTTGTTTACAACTTACAATGCTCTGTAAAATCCAAACAACAACAGTAACTGGGATAAAAATTGGATAATTTTAAACATTTTTGAAATTTTCAGTCCAAATGATCCTCATTCACAATATTTCGATGAACTAAAATTTAAAATTACAATCAAAATATTGCTTTAAGGAAAAACCACTTTCGTACGACTTTTCGCTCATTATAAAAACCACGATTTGCATTTTTTGAAAATTTGTAGATTATCGTAAATCATACAAGTTATGAGAGAAAGCCAAGACAACGCTTTTACCTCTTTTAGGTTCCATAACATCTTACTGGCATGGTGCCAAGCTTTTCCATGTTCATCACGGTTATTTCCAGATATTATTCCACTACCTTCTTCTGAATGCTGCAAATTTAATAAAATTTCTTTAAAATCTATCATTTTAAAATGAGATAAATAAAAAAACTAACAAAAACAGGAGCTTAATATTCAGAACTGTCACAATACCAGTATCGTCACTTTACATCTTAAAAATGCGAATTTTCTTTTCAACCTATTTCACTGACTATAGTCAACAGTGTTAAGCTTACAAAAGTTATCACACCAATTTTTTGAAGGCACACTGAATATCACTGAATTTGTCATGTTGCTCCAGTTCACTGGCCAATGATAGCTCTGAATTAAATCCCAATACACATATTCCATCTAAGTCTTTTAATCGATCCACAATATTGTTCACTGCAACGTTTGAGGGGGCACAAATAAGCACCTGTAAATCGAAATAAAACTTGGTGAATTTCATTATTATTCAGGAAATTTCGCACTAGTGCAGCTGGAAGTTTAACTCATATTCCCACAAAAAATTTTAGTGGATGGGCTGCAATGATAACTGACCCATTGAATATGAAGAATTTTCTTCTCGACTATACTCAGAGATGAGGGTAGCCGACAAAATGGAAGAAACTCACTTAAAAACAGTCTTTTTTATTCAGTTAGTATACAATTATCTAATTTTTAAGACTCAAATCGACAGACTTATCGCTAAATGCAGAGATATTTACTCATAAAACCACTGTTACTCCAAACATCTAATTAAATCAGAAAAAGAAAAAATCCCATGCGGTCATTTCAATTTTTGATTCCTCAAAGAAATCATAAAGTTAGTCTTAGTCTCAAAAAAAAAAATGAAAGAATCTGAAATCAAGAAGAAAGCAAATAGCGGAAAATAACTATCCTCTTTCAAAAAAGGGTTTTAAGACGACAAATCACTATTAAAACATACCTTTTGCTTCCTGCTTACGGCTTCTATCACAATCTCCGCAATAACAGCCGTCTTCCCAGTACCAGGTGGACCATGAATGGTCACAATCGGTCGACTTTTGTTTAATGCAGCAGATACAGCACGTCTTTGGTCTTCATTGAGTTTAACTGCTTTTCTGGAAACTTCATCTAAATAAGATATCATTAACACCAATGTTTTTACAAGTTTCAGTAATGCTGAATTAAAAAGAAGAAGATAAATTATGTAACAACATGACTGCACGATAGCAGGAATATAACTGCACTGCTTACCACTTACCAGCTAAATCTTTTAAATTACAAAATGCAATGAATTTCTTTAGTAGTCTTTAACATAAACATTTTATCACCTAATATATACCTTTCTTCTCTTATATAGCTTATTCGCATTGACAAACCAGCAAATGCTATATGATGTTTTTACGCCTCCACCGTTTAATCTGAGAATTGGATGTTAAGAAAAAACCCCTGAAATGCAGAATATGCATGTGTTCGAGTATCGAAATTGAATTACCTGGTCGTGATGTTGGTAAAGGTACACTACAATGAACATAATGAATCAGTTTTTCGCCTGGGAAATCTCTCCACTTCAATTCCTGAATTTGGAAAATTTTTTTACAAGCAACGATTACCATCTGTATTACATATTTTATGTTTGTTGAAAACATGGGACTACCCTGTATTCTCAAATGCCGTAATACATTGCACGACGATCAAAAGTTTTTTCTTTAAGCCATTATTAGCGGGTGAAGTAAATACCAATTATAACACTATAACCAAAATTTGAGCCCATACAAGAGAAAAAACATGAAATAAGGACAAATAAATTAGTGCAAATAATTCCTTCTCTAAACGAAATGTCGTTACATTAGCAAAATCTACTATCCCACAGGAAAGAAACTTACCAGAAATTCATCTAAAGCTGTCAGATATCCGAGGCCAACAGATGGTATCAACACAAATTCATCAGAAGAATTAAGATTCACTTCTTTTTTCGCCTTTGCCTTTAGGCTCACTTGATTTCCAGAGCATGAAATTACAATACAATCGCTAACGCTTGTAAGCTCTGGAATTCGGCATAACAACACAGGCGTGCCTATAATAAAAGAAATCTGAATATTTTCTAAAAAAACCTCCAAAAATCCATTTCCAAAATAGCTATGGATAATAAAATTTGCTATGGATAACAAAATTTGGAGCTAAAAAAGAAAAAAAAAGTGAAACCTGGACGGAAAGTTTTATTCGAGACTTTCTGCTCTGGTCCTTTTATCTGTTGTAAGACAATGACGCGTCCGTGCAATGCGTGTAAATACTGTGTACGGAAATGAAGTCCTCCAGAAATCTGGCCAAGTTTTTCCAATTCGTCAACCGACGGATTCAGCAGAAGATCCCTGTGAAATGGAAATTCCTATGTGTATGTGATATCCACCAAATTGTTGTCATCAGCAAGGAAAGTCTAGGGAAAAAAACAGGGTATGAATATAATGTACCGGATTTCCTTAACACCGGAAGCAACTTCATTTTTTAGTAATTCCTTCCACTGATTAACTTTTTCGTGAAAGTCCGAATGTAAAGCGATATTTCTCGTGCGCTTCTGCGACTTTTTGCTATATTCAAGATTTCTGAAAAATGATTAGATGTAAATTTTTAAAAGTTTGTATTTTTCAAAAACCTTTGAAATTTTCACAAGAATAATAACAAATATTTGCCATCCGGATCGTCTAAATATGCATAGTGCATAGTCTGATATCCATTACAATAACGATGGGAAAAGATCAAAAGAGAAAGTAGTGAACCGGAAGATCTGACATTTGCTGCTTAAACATGAGGTCAATAATTTTGTATTGGTAAAAGATCAATACCCCGTATTTTTCTTTCGTATGACGTTTTGATGGTGAGATGAGCAGTTTGCCAATTTACTATTCTGAATTAGATTACTGAAATTCTGCGTACATCCAGAAAACAAACACGTTCCGAACCGGAATGCAATATGCCGAAACATCGTCCATCAAGCTGCAAAAAGTTGCACTTATTAATAGGCATATATCATGTCGGATCTTTCGTATCCCGTGATTTTCGTAACCACGTAATCTCAAGATCAATCTAATATATATCCGGATTTCAAAAAAAAAAAATTATCTGTATCCAAAAAATATAATATGTATCCGGATTCTGAAACAGGAAAACGCAGGACACTCGGGAAGACACGTACCGCTGACAATCTGTTTCGTTTCATGGTGGAGTAGTTGAGGGTTCAAGCAATTGATTCGGATTTGACATGATGATAATATATACGTACTCCACGGCTGGTTTCGAAGCAAAGATTAAAAGCATTCGGGATAATGAGCCCTCACCTCTGACCCTACTGGAAACACAGCCTGCAGTTTTTGATATGGCTAGAGAAGGAATAAATAGATGAGAAAAAAAAAACCAATTCTTGTCTGTCCTGTAACGCGAAAATCCTATGTCATCTTCGATTGAAATTGTGACATTTTCAAAATTTAAACTTTGTAATGATGAATCAGATTTCTGGAAATTTTGAAGAGATCAATGAAAAATTCAACTCTATTGAATGTCAAAGAATGCGTAAAATCGATAAAAGTAACACTATTTCATATTCATTTTCACACCTCACAAATCTGTTAATTTCTAAATGATTTTCCTAATAAATTAGAACATTCATTCCTCCCATTTCACACTTCTTCATACCCTTATCTCGTCTTTATTTTATAATGCAGCATGCCAAAACTATCATACCTCATCTAGCACGTTAATTAATGAGTTATGGAAAAAAAAGAGGATCTTAGTTAATTAGTGAATCATGAATGATAGAAGAAAATTTTAATTAATTATCGAATCATGAATGATAGAAAAGAATGTTAATTAATTAGTGAATTATAGATGACAGAAGAGATTCTCAAGATCAGCCATATTTTGAATAAAATGGAAAAAAATTTTGCAGCCTTTTTCATGCATATCACTCATTTCAATGATACCATTTTGTAAATAATCAAACATAATATTTCATTAAATTATATTATGCCCGTATTGTTATTTATTCCAGCATTGTTACGAATAATCAAGTTTCATATTTCGATATAACCAGGAATGATTGATTGATAAGTGATTACCGTTACTCTGGATTAATTTTTTTTATCAGTGAAATGAGTTCCTCCTGAATTGGCTTTTATTGCTTAATTTTTCCGATCGTAAAATTAATTTCCTGAATCATTTAACAATTGCATTTGGATGACGAAATTCAGCACATTACATTTTCATTGCTTTTATTTTTACTGATCTAAACATCATCCTATACCTTTGTAGAAAGGAAGAAAAAACAAAACAAAAGAAAAACAAACAAAAATCTGGTTATTGATCAATTTTTCTTCTTCTTTTACTTCACTTCATACTTTTTTCTCTAGTAACATTATTACAAAAATTAAGCATAATTTGTCGAAAAATTAATAATATCAAAAAAAAAAGATCAATTTTGTTAATGATTGAAATATATTTCAATAAAATTTGATGATTAAAAGCATCTTCTTATAATGATAAATTAGCACTGTTCAATTCTCACAGTCTTTCTAATTTTTTAGCCTTCAACAGTTAGTACTATTTTAAAATTCCAACTAAACTTAACGAATAGTAAAAAAAAAAAAAAGGAAAAGAAGTTCCAAATCTATTATATAATTGATTTTACTGAGATCAAATAAGAGGAAGGATAGAAAAAAAAGCGAGAAAACTACCAGCATATTACTACTGATAAGCTTCTTTTTTTTAATTTATTTAAAATTAATGGAGAACGAAATGTACACAATTAATGCACCAATAAGAGAGGAGAGAGAGAGAGAGAGAGGAAG